AAAAAAAAAAAAAAAAAAAGGAAAAGATGTACAAAGAATTTGTTTGGCTTTGTGCAAGGAACTTTTGAGGTTACAAGGAAATACACAACCTCTGTTCCCCAGAAGTCTGGGTCTGAGAGACGAAGCAAAATCAATCCATTCCTCCCAATATGTGAACTTTTATAGACTTAGATACTAACCCTTCTGCCAACTGCATGAAAAAAATGAAAACATTATTGAATTTTTTTACTTAGATGAACTCCAGGATGTTATACCTGATTCACAGGCAGTGGAAAAAAGAGATCATTCTACGTAAGTATGAGAAAATCATCAAATCATTTAGTATCTATCAATGCCCTTTTTAGTGCATATAACTGATTTGAAGGAAAAGGACTTTAAATTTAGAATATAGCATTAATCATCTCCCGGGTGTTATTATGACAGCACAATGGAGAATGATGTATATGTTTGTTTTTTCCCCCCTTATAGACCAATATAACTTTTCAAGTTGAGAGACATAAAGTGAATGAAATTTTTAAAATGTATAAATAATAAATGTGTAGAAACTTAGTTTAAATATACAGTAGAACATGTAAGATAAGATGTATTTATGCATTATTTACACACATATAATACATTTCTTTCGGTAAACATTGACTACATTAAAAATCAAGGCCTGAAAGTCATAGGCTAATGTTTTGTTAACATATTAAGAAAATTAATTCATTTTTTAGATTACCTGGTGTTTTAGACAACATCTGTGGAAATAAAATGCACAGCAAATGGGCATGTTGGACACCTGTAACAAACATTGAACTATGTAGTAACCAAAGAGCAAGTATTTCATCAGGAGACACCTTTAATCAAGGTAAAACTTACAGTTTTATCTGTATGTAATAGTTCAGTGTTAATTTTCTCAAATGTCTAACAATCATTAAAATAAATTGAACAAATTTTACATATTGTCAACTTATTAAATAACAATTTCTCATTTTCCCCATTAGATATTGTTATAAATAAAAAACCTAAACAAAAATCATACTCTTCAATATCTGATAATAATTCTGAAGAAACAGCAAAAGTAAAATATAAGAAAGAACGAACCAACCATATCAAAATAGATAAAGCAGAAGTTGAAGATTGCAAAAAACACAGTCAACAGCAAAATCATCCTAAATATTCAGAGCAGAAAAATACTGAAAATATCAAGCAGAGTGATTGGCCTGTTGAATCTGAAACTACTTTTAAATCAGTTCTCTTAAATAAGACAATTGAAGAATCGCTGATTTATAGGAAGAAATGCATATTGTCAAAAGATGTGAATACTGCTACTTGTGATAAAAATCCTTCCACTAGCAATAATGTGAAAAGTCATAGAAAAGCAGAGAAAGAATTGACTTCCGAACTTAATTCCTGGGATTTGAAACAAAAAAAAATGGTGAGCTTTCAATGTGCTTTGCTTTCTGCATACCCATAAGATGCCTACTTGATAACATAAGGAAGAAAGAAAGCTTGATTAATTGCTACATATTTAACATGTGTAATACCTTGCTTTCTAATTCAGGGCCCAGACTCTGAGAATTCCTCCTTAAAGTCCTCCCTCACCTCTTCCTAGTCCTAGCTTGGATAGAACAATACGAGGCACGTATCAGGCATGTAAATATGTGTAGAATTAATGAACCATGCAGTTCCTATCTCTTCTTTTTGAGTTCCTCCCACTCTTTCCTTTCAAATATGCATATAGAACTGTTTGTACATCTCTTATAATTCTTACTTTTTAATAAATGGTTATTTTGATTTTTTCCCTCTTGGACTATAACCATAGACTTTTATTCAACATTTATTTTCCTGCGCATCCTAGCACAGCCTTAAAACACAGTAGCATCTCAAGTATTTTTGGATGAATGCATTTAACCTTGACAAGGTTTTGCAAGAAAGTATGTAAATGAGTTGGAAGAGACTGTCTTCTGTTGTAACTGTTACTCGTCATTATTAGAGCTCCCACTTTCATTTTCAGATTAATCATCTCTGGAGAACATCTCTAAGACAATAGCTGCTTTGCCACCAGACTTCCAGGGGAGACAATTTTACTTTTTGTAACATTTATGGGTAAATCATTTTTTTCATAACTATCAAAATGCAGATTAAGAAAAATTGTTAAATTAGAATAAATTTCCATTGCAAGTAATGCAATCTGCTTTTTGATGTTTCTAAAATAATCCAGGTTTTGTAGGCTTTTATTTTCATTTATCTTTTGTAGTAATGCTGATACCTGGGTAACCAAATTTCTAGAGTCAGTGTAAAATGTTCACACAATTGAGCATCTCAATGTGCAAATGATATTTAAGAGATAATTTGCAATTGTGTATAATTAGACATTATTTGTCTTGACCAGTGTCCTTTAAAAAACTTTTTTAAACATGAAACTCACTTTCTGTTCCTAATTTGGCTGTTTTCTTTAATCATATTCTTTGGGTCCCTTTTTGCTTAGTTCCTAATATGTTATTTTCCCTTTCTTATCTTAGCTACTATTTACTTCCTCAGTCCCAGGGGAAATAAGGTCCTTTTTGTCCAAACACAGATCTGTCTTTAAATTTAAATTTTAAATTGCTTTCTTTGGTATTTAGAATAATTTCACATAATTTCTCTGAGCTATTCATTTATTTTCTGGGAGCACAAAACCTAATAATCTTTTAGGCTATGCTCTGATTTTTAAAAAATCGACTTGCTGTTTTCAGAAATTGTCTTCCGTTCTTCATAGCGTCCCTACCTGTGTCCCTCTGTACAATTTCCCACCAGTTCCATGGATCTCTGTCTTCTAAGGTAGTCATCTATCTGATACTGTCTTTCTACTTACTGGGTCACCCCAGAGCAACCTTCTTAGTTCAGCGGCACAGATTTCCCAGGCTGGCTCCAATGATACTGGAATTTCTGAAATCATACAGTATTTTAGAGAAGGTTCATTTTTGCTACATTTCTATCAAGACAAGTAAACCATGTCTGCACTCTAATCTTAAGGGGATATTAAGTAATAACTTACTACCTGTTATGTATAAGAACATACGGGAAGATGGCTGAATAGGAACAGCTCTGAAGTGCAGTTCCCAGCGAGAACACAGGGTGAGTGATCACCGCATTTCCAAACGAATTTTTACTGCCCACAGACCAGGAGATTCCTGGGTGGAAAACACCACGAGTCTTCAGCATGGCCTTTTCAGCCAGTGCAGTAGGTCTCCACACAAAAACTCACACAAATCTTGGTGCCATTTCAACTGTTGCCTAGAGCGCCTGGGAGAGAGTCACCCATTCAACTGAAAAGAAAAGGGGGGGCTGAAATGGAGCCAGGTGATCTGGCTTGGCGGGTCCCACCCCCACAAAGACCAGCAATCTGAAATGCTCTGGATTGAGAGTTTCACAGCAAGCACAGCTGGACCTGGGACGGTCCAGCTCTGTGGGGGGAAGGGTATCCATCATTGTTGAGGCAGTCCACCATTACTGAGGCAGACCGCCCTTACCAAGGCAGTTCTAACTATACCTCTATAAACAAAAACCTCAAGGAAATTCACACACCAGCTGGGCAGAGCCCACGTCAGCTCAGCAATGCCTCTGCTGGCAGACTGACTAGGCTACCTCCTCACTGGGCAGGGCATCTATGAAAAAACGCAGCAGCATGTCAAGAACTTATAAAGCCCCACCTTCTCAGGACAGAACACCTGGGGAAAAAAAGCGGTTATGAGTTCTGCTGCAGCAGACTTAAATGTACCTGCCCAGCAGCTCTGAACGGAACAGTGGAGCTCACAGCTCAGCACTTGAGCTCCTATAAGGGACAAACTGTCTCCTCAAGCAGCTCCCCAGCCCCTGTATATCCAAAGAGACCTCATAAAGGAGAGCTCAGGCTGACATCTGGTGGGTATCCTTCTGGGACAAAGATAACAGAAGAAGAAACTGGCAGTAACCCTTACTGTTCTGCAGTCACTGCAGGTGATCCCCAGGCAAGCAGGGTCTGGAGTAGACCTCCAGTAGTCCTACAGCAGAGGGACCTGACTATTAGAAGGAAAACTAAAAAACAAATAACTTCGTCATCAACAAAAAGGATGTCCACTCAGAGACCCCGTCGGAAAGTCACCAGCTACAAAGACCACACAGGTAGATAAATCCACAAACATGGGAAGAAACCAGCACAAAAAGGATGAAAACACCAAAGCCCAGAATGCCTCTCCTTCTCCAAGGGATTGCAACTCCTCACCAGCAAGGGAACAAAGCTAGATGGAGAATGAGTCTGATGAATTGACAGAAACAGGCTTCAGAAAATTGGCAATAACAGACTTCTCTGAGCTAAAAGAACATGTTCTAACCCAATGCAAAGAAACAGAACCTTGAAAAAAGGTTTGACAAAATGCTAACAAGAATAAATAGCTTAGAGAATAATATAAATGAATTGATGGAGCTGAACAACACAACACAAGAACTTAACGAAGCATACACCAGTTTCAATAGCCGATTTGACCAAGCAGAAGAAAGGATATCAGAGATTGAAGATCAACTCAATGAAATAAAATGAGAAGGCAAGATTCGAGAAGAGAGAATAAAAAATGAGCATAGCCCCCAAGAAATATGGGATTATGTGAACAGACCTAATTTATGTTTAATGGGTGTACCTGAATGTGACAGAGAGAATGAATCCAAGCTGGAAAACACTCTTCAGGATATTATCCAGGAGAACCTCCCCAACCTAGCAAGGCAGGCCAATATTCAATTCCAGGAAATACAGAGAACACCACAAAGATATTCCTCAAGAAGAGCAACCCTAAGGCACATAATAGATTCACCAGGGTTGAAATGAAGGAAAAAATGCTAAGGGCAACCAGAGAGGAAGGTCAGGTTACCCAGAAAAGGAAGCCCATCAGACTCACAGTGGATCTCTTGATAGAAACCCTATAAGCCAGAAGAGAGTGGGGGCCAATAACCAACATCCTTAAAAGAACTTTCAACCTAGAATTTCATATACAGCAAACTAAGCTTCATAAGTGAAGGAAAAATAAAATCCTTTATAAACAAGCAATTGCTCAGAGATTTCGTTACCACCTGGCCTGCCTTATGAGAGCTCCTGAAAGAAGCACTAAACATAGAAAAGAACAACCAGTAACAGCCACTCCAAAAATGTACCAAATGGTAAAAAGCATTGACACAATGAAGAAACTGCATCAACTAATGGGGAAAACAACCAGCTAGCATCAAAATGGCAGGATCAAATTCACACATAACAATATTAACCTTAAATGTAAATGGGCTAAATGCCCCAATCAAAAGATACAGACTGGCATATTGGTTAAAAAGTCAAAACCCATTGGTGCGCTGTATCCAGGAAACCCATCTTACATGCAAGGATACACACAGGCTCAAAAGAAAGGGATAGAGGAAGATTTACCATGCAAATGGAGAGCAAAAAAAAAAGCAGGAGTTGCAATCCTAGTCTCTGATAAAATAGACTTTAAACCAACAAAAATATAAAGAGTCAAGGGCATTACATAATGGTAAAAAGATCAATGCAACAAGAAGAGCTAAGGATCCTAAATATATATATGCACCCAATACAGGAGCATCCAGATATATAAAGCAAGTTCTTAACGACCTACAAAGACACTTAGACTCCCATACAATAATAGTGGGAAACTTTAACACTCCACTCTCAATATTGGAAAGATCAATGAGACAGAAAATTAACAAGGACATCCAGGACTTGAACTCAGATCTGGACCAAGCAAATCTAATAGACATTTACAGAACTCTCCACCCCAAATCTACAGACTATACATTCTTCTCAGCACCACATCACACCTACTCTAAAATTGACCACATAATCGGAAGTAAATCACTCCTCAGCAAATGCAAAAGAACAGAAATCATAACAGTGTCTCAGACCACAGTGCAACCAAATTAGAACTCAGTACTAAGAAACTAACTCAGAACTCCACAACTTCATGGAAACTGAAAACTGGCTCTTGAATGATGACTGGATAAACAATGAAATGAAGGCAGAAATAAAGATCTTCTTTGAAACCAACAAGAACAAAGACATAATGTACCAGAATCTCTGGGACACACTTAAAGCAGTGTCTAGAGGAAAATTTATAGCAATAAATGCCCACATGGGAAGCAAGGGAAGATCTAAAATCGACACCCTATCGTCACAATTGAAAGAGCTAGGGGAGCAAGATAAAAAAAAAACTCAAAAGCTAGTAGAAGACAAGAAATAACTAAGATCAGAGCAGAACTGAAGGAGATAGAGACACAAAAACCCTTCAAAAAATTAATAAATCCAGGAGCTGGTTTTTTGAAAAGATCAACGAAATAGACCACTAGCCAGATCAATGAAAAAGAAAAGAGAGGAGAATCAAATAGATGCAATAAAAAATGATAAAGCGGATATCACCACAG